AAAAAAACGAAGTCCAGATGACATGATTCAACCTTTTTTGTTGTTTGCCCAAGATGTATGACTTTATAAAAAACTCATCCGCAGGCTGTTGCCGGACGTTTGTGCCTTCAGTTTGACGGTGGGTGTCTGAGCAGTGTAAGTCCATTATCTGTTGTTAGTTGAACTGTGCAGTGGACTGTTGGAGACCTGACTCCACAGTGTTTGAGACACAGTAGCTCCGGGCTGCACACACCAGCAGCACCAGCAGGTGCGTTTCATGAAATGCTTCAGACGTGGAAGATTCCCAAAAGTTCTGTTCAGGTTGTGCTCAGAGACAATGCTACACGTGCACGCACACATACACAGTCTGAAATCTGACATGGTGTAATATTGCACAAGTATGATGTTGGACCCAACCAGTTCTAACTGTTTATCTACAAACAACGATCTTAGTCTAAATGTTTGACCTGCGAGGTGGCAGGTGATGTGTTCAGGGATTGCCATGCCTTTTAACTGCTCTAAGTTTGTAGTTGTGATCATTTGTTGCTGATTTTTATATGTCGGCTTTATTCTTGTTTTTATTTTTTGTAGAATAAAGTGTACTTGGTGCCTAAAGTCCTGTTCAGCATGGAGTATGTTGAACCTAAAGTCCACTGCATCAGCACTCATGGACTGTTTTCTCCTGACAGGTAGTCCAAACTCTTTGTTCTTGCTGACAGTTTCAAAAGGTATGTAACATCCCTAATCTTTTTCTTCTGTGTTCTGCTTTAGTTCTTCCTGTGTCCCATCACGCTTCCAGACCCCGACAGACTCTCTGGTCCTGAAGGAGGGCCAGAGCTCCTCTACGCAGGAGGAGCTCATCCAGACATCTCCTGCAGCAGCTCCTCCTCTGTCTGTCCACCAAAGAGAGGAGCCCGTCTGGCTAGGAGGAGTCAGACCTCCATTTGGAGCAGACAGCAGTAATCACATGCACCTGGACTCTCTGCAGGTACAGGTCTTCCTGATGTGATGGACAGGAGAGTCTTCCTCTGAAGTGTACCAAATGTCTAAAAGCTGCATTTCCCTAGTGCCGAGTTATTTTACGCTCTCTGTTACCTTTCCTTTACCCAGAATGCTGCAGTGTACTCAGCTCGGGTCCAGTCAGTCGGGCGCTACGTCTTCATTCTCCATTATCACCAGCCTCTTCATCTCACATATCCTGTGCAGGTCTACATCAATGGGGGACGGATCTGGCACGGTTGGTTTTACAAAAGCCTCAGAAAGTGCACATACTCAGTTATATTTTCTCTAAAATACAGTGATTCTGAGAGCTAGATGACAGCCGAAATTTGCAGGAGGAGCTGAAACTGAGTGAATGCAGTTAAAATAATCAAACACTAACTGAAAACTAAAGGAAATTAAACACTAGCTAAAAGTGGTAGAATAGTAGTTTCAACCTAAAAGCTGTAACATGCTTAGCTAAAAGCTAAAATCGGTAAAAGACTTGCAAAACTTAGTAGAACAGTAGCTAAATGTTAAACATAGAATTTGAAAAGTGAAGCAGAGTTTCCAATAGAACAATTTTTTTGCTTGAATTGTATAGATGTGCGTCTTTCTTTGAGGACTTTTCTTTTAAAATAACATTTTTGAAAAGTATAAAGTCACAAATCAAAAGTTCATGGTCCCCGTGTCCTGGATAAGCCTAATGTTTTGATAAATGAAAAAGTACAAAGTATACTGACGTGGTTTGACTGCAGAAATGTAAGAAACAAACAAACAGTAGTGTTAATGGGGAACTAGAAATAAACAAATGAAAGAAAAGTTTACCGGTCAATCTACGTTCCTACCCTCATCTATGGTCATGAGCTTTGGGTTGTGACCGAAAGAACGAGATCACACCTCAAAGATGCTCAATCTTTATTTTACTCATCTGTAATCTATAATAACCCTGGTAACTCCAAAATACTTTTTTCAACCATCACTCACCTCCTTCAACCACGAACAACATAACTCAATGACTCCACTAATGATCTTTGTAATAACTTTATCTCCTTTTTCCAAAACAAGATAAAAAAAATCCGATCAGCCATCACCATTTCATCCCCTGCCCTCTCTCCAGCTGCAATTGTACAGCCTGGGAACCCTCCCCCCTTCTGTTCTTTCCCAGAGGTCTGTGTGAAGGAAGTTGAAGCCACTGTCATGGCTATGAAATTCTCCACATGTGCTCTTGATCCCTTCCCAACAGCCCTAGTCAAGGCTAATATTGCCTTTCTCAGTCCTCTTATCACCACCATAGTTAATCAATCCCTTCAATCTGGTCATATTCCCCCTGCCCTGAAATCAGCCATAATTAAACCACTTCTCAAAAAACCTACCCTTGATCCTCGGGACTTGGCAAACTACAGACCCATTTCCAACCTTCCCTTCATCACTAAAGTTATGGATAAATTAGTCTCAGTTCATCTACAAGAACATCTACATGACGATAGGATACTGGACAAATTTCTATCAGGTTTCCGTACTGCTCATAGCACTGAAACAGCTCTGATCCGGGTCACAAATGACCTGTTGATCAATGCTGATCGTGATTCCTCTTCTCTCCTTATTCTTCTCGATCTTTCAGCTGTCTTTGACACGGTGGATCATTACATCCTACTCCACCGTTTACAGCATTTTGCAGGGCTCACTGGCACTGCCCTGGAGTGGTTCCGATCATACCTGACGGACAGAACAGAGTTTGTCTCCATTGAGCGTGCCAAGTCATTGAGCCATCCTGTTTCTTGTGGTGTGCCCCAGGGATCAGTCCTGGGACCCCTCTTTTCAACTTGTACATGGTACCACTTGGGTGTATTCTCAGCAGCTACGGGGTCTCATTCCATTGCCATGCTGATGATACTCAGCTGTATCTTAAGCTGGGTAGCAATGTGTCTAAGACCCCATCTACATCATCTTCAGCTTCTCCATTTTCTCCACTTTCTTCTCTTTCCACACTCACAGCTTGTCTGGAGGAGATAAAGGCATGGATGCAGCAAAATTTCCTTCACCTTAGTTCAAAAACAGAAGCAATTCAAATTGGTACTTCACACCAAATTCAACAACAAAAAGGCCTCAGTATCTCTTTCTCTGGCCAGAACATTTCTCTTTCCAATACAGTTACCAATCTTGGTGTTATTTTTGATTCACAACTCACCTTTGAAAGCCATAGCATATATGTAAAACTTCTTTTTTTCATCTTAGAAATATTGCAAAGCTTCAGTCTACACTGTCCTTCACCGATGCAGAAAAGCTCGTCCATGCATTTGTCTCCTCCAGACTGGACTACTGCAATGCACTCCTCATTGGGATTCCTGGCAAGAACATACAGAAACCACAGTATGTCCAGAACAGCACTGCCAGGGCCCTGATGAGAGTGCGTAAGCACGAGCACATCACCCCTGTACTCCATTCACTTCACTGGCTTCCTGTTTCTGCCCGGATCACTTACAAAATTTATCTGCTCACCTTCCAATGCTTGGAATGCACCATCTTATTTAAAAGAACTTCTCACCACTCATTGTCCTTCACGCACTCTCCGCTCTTCCAACACCCATCTTCTTCTCACTCCCAGGTCTCGATCCTGCACTACAGGAGACCTGGCTTTCTCCTGCGCTGCCCCTCGGCTGTGGAACGCCCTGCCTTAATATCTGAGGGCTCCACAGACTGTGACATGTTTTAAAAAGGGTCTTAAAACCTTTCTTTTTACCCAGTTTTTTAATTGATTGCACTGTGCTTTTTTATTTTTTTATTCACCCATAGTTCTTATTTGAGTCTATTATCTGCATCTTGTGCATTTTAAGTTTTTTCGATATGTTCATTCTGAGGCGTTATCCTCCTGGTTGTTTTGCTCTCGGTTGCTTTTATCCTGCTGCTATCTGATGTTCACTCTTTGTAGCACTTTGAGATTCACTGTGAATGTAAAGTGCATTATAAATAAAAGTTATTATTATAAGTTATTATTATTATTATTATTATTACAAGCGGCCGAAATGAGTTTTCTTTGCAGGGTGTCTGGGCTCTCCCTTAGAGATAGGGTGAGAAGCTCGGTCATCCGGGAGAGACTCAGAGTAGAGCCGCTGCTTCTCCACGTTGAGAGGAGTCTGTTGAGGTGGCTCAGGCATCTGGTTAGGATGCCTCCTGGACGCCTCCCTGGTGAGGTGTTCCAGACACGTCCCACCGGGAGGAGACCCAGAGGAAGACCCAGGACACGCTGGAGGGACTATGTTTCTCGGCTGGCCTGGGAACGCCTCGAGATTCCCCCGGAGGAGCTGGGCCAAGTGGCTGGGGAAAGGGAAGTCTGGGCCTCCCTACGCGACCCGACCCCAGATAAGCCGAAGAAAATGGATGGATGGATGGAAAGAAAAGTTGAAAGTTTTTTCACCCGACTTAAAGAACGTTGTGTTTCAGGCATCACCAACGTCTCCTTCTGTCCTCATGCCTATGGCTGCCGGAACTTGCTGGTCTCTGAGAACCAGATCATTCTGGATGTGACGCACCACAACATCATCCTCACAGTGCAGATACCTGCTGACAAAACACTGTGGCTGGTACGTATTACTACTCTGCTGGAAGGACTTACAGATACTTCCTGTTTGTATGAGTACGAGTATGTATGGGTGTGATGGGAGCTGAAATCAGACTGTGTACATATTCTGACTGAAATGACTGATCAGATTTTAGGACAAACATCTCTGATCTTCACATTTAAACCTGTCTATGTGTAGCAGTATTTAGGCAAACAAGAAAATGAAAGATCATTGTTCAAAGAATGCATATGCAGATTTTCATCTTTAAATCACTTCTTGGTCTGCTGCCTTCATACATCTCCTCCTACATGTCTCTGTGTGAGTGCAGCTACAGCGTGCGCTCTCAGGACATTATTACCTGCAGTGTTCCCTCAGTGAGGACTGAACTAGACAAAAGGACCTTCTCCTACTCCGCTCCTGTTTCCTGGAATATCTTGTAAAAAGATCTGAAGCTCTCGACCTTTGACCTCTCTAAGTGTCTTTAAGAATCTGTTGGACTCCTGGCAGGGACCAATGCAGACATGTTCCTGTTTTTAGTTTTTAGTATGTTACATCGCTTTACAACCAAGCTGTTTTTGTTCTGTTTTTTTAATACCATTTTCTTTCATTTGTTCTTTTCAATTTTTATGCTTCCTTTTATGATTGTCCATGGTTGTCTTTGTTGTCCATTGTTGTCTTTCTTGTCCACTGTTGTCTTTGTTCATTGTTGTCCTCACTCTTTGTTAAATCAGGTGTCTCTTGTAAATGAGTCCCCGAGGCTCAGTGGGACTAACCTGTTTAAATAAAGGTTGAATGAATGTCACCCATGCTGGAAGTTGTAGCTGTCTTTGTCAAAGCTTTAACTCAGAGGTGTGCAGCTTTTTTTCCCCAGAAGGTCAAATGAAGATATTTAAAGCACTCAAAGGGTTGCATAGAGAATTGGAAATACAGTTTTTAAGACATCCTGATGCATGCTCAATAATCCAGGTAGAAAAATCTAAAAAAAGATAAATCTGGTCCTCTGGACATTCAAAAAAACAACACGAAATAAATCAACAAAAAAATGTAGAAACGTTTCGTCTCTCATCCAAGAGACTTCCTCAGTCTGACTGAGACTGAGCTGAATACAGCTCCTCAGACTGAGGAAGTCTCTTGGATGAGAGACGAAACATTTATACATTTTTTTGTTAATTTATTTTGTGTTGTTTTTTTGAATGTCCAGAGGACCAGATTTAACTTTTTTAGAGTTTTTAAGACAGATAATGTGGAAGACTTTTTTCAGTCTTGTTCTTGTTACTTTCCAGACTTTCAAATGAGTAAAACAGCAGAGTGTTATGTGTTAATGGTTGGTGGTAGATCAGGATCCAAGAGTAATCATTACATTTATCAGTTTCTTATAACAGCAGTGATCTCATGCTGTGGGGACATTCGCAGTCTGTGATGTTGATGTCCTCATGTGAGTTAGGTTAATAGAACTGTTAATATTAGTAAAGACACTAAAAGAAAACACATGCATTATCTGAACAGGACTATGTGCTAATGGTTCCTGAGACAAGCTACAGCTCCAGCTACCTGACTGAAGAACCTCTGGACAAATCATACGACTTCATCAGCAGCTGTGGTCAGAACAGCTTTTACATCAAGTCAGTATTTCATAGTTGGGTGTTTCCATTCAGCGCAGTTTGTCACACAGAGATGTCAAACCGTGCATTCTTTGTGTATTTGCAGTCCCTCCACAGCCTCCCCGTTCTGCCTCAGCTCTGCAGTTTCTCTGTCAGCGTTCTTCAACAACGGGGCCTTGCCTTGTGCCTGTCATGAGGTGGGGGCCGAAAGTGACACCTGTGAGCAGTTTGGTGGTCAGTGCAAGTGCCGGCCGAATGTGATTGGACGAGAGTGCTCTATGTGTGCCACAGGCTACTGGGGTTTTCCCAACTGCAAACGTAAGTTTTTGGCTGGTTCTTTTTGTTGCAACTGCTCCGTCAGCTCTGACTTCAGTCCATTTGTACAATTCACAACAAAAAACAAGTCCCTAAATATAGATTAAACCCAGATTTAAATCTAATTACTTTCAGTTCAATTCCTATTGAACTGTTCCTATTTTTTATTGGAGGGAAATACCATTAATATATTGAAATTAATTTAAATTAAAAAAACAATAAATATAGTAAATAAATTATAATTTTTTATCGAGTGCCTTGAACAAGTGTTGAACTTTCCCTCATGTCATGTTTCAACTACAAACTTTAAATATTTTATTTGACATATGAACACAAAGCAGAGCTAAACTGTGAAGTGGCAGAATAATAGGGTTTTCAATTAGCATAAAACATTGTGGTGTGCCTTTGTATTCAATTCTCCTGACTCAGTACTTAGTAGAACCTCCTTTGCCTGTAGTTCCAGATGAAATCTTTTGGGCTTGGTCTCTTCCAGCTTTGTGCATGTACAGACTGAAACTGTGTCCCATTCTTTGCAAACCAGCTGCACTTCAGTCCCATCGGATGGAGAGCATCTGTGAACTAGACAGTTCCTGGAGAAACTTTGACAGGGACTGCCACACTGCTGCAAACTTGAACTTTTGATCTGACTTTGTGTTTGGGTTCACCCTCATCTACCACTATACCAAATTTCAGCTGCATAGCTCTAAAAATTGCTAAGTTATCATCATTTTCCCTTTTAGCTAAGGTGGCCATCTTGGATTTTTAGATTTGAATTCAGTATTTAATGGACATTGCTCTCAGCTATCAACACACCAATTTTCAGCTGAATAGCTGTAAAAAAAAAATGGCTGAGTTATAATTTTTTCCCTTTTAGCTAAGGCGGCCATCTTGGATATTTGATTTACATTAGGAAGGCGACAAGGTCCTGGAGAACCGGCGTGTCCAGCTGAGACTCACGCTGTGGAGTACGTCATGGATTCGTGGGGAGTGTGGCAGATGATGTGTCTCTCAGTCCTGTCTCAGGAGGATGTTGAAGACGTTTATATATTTGGATTTATGATAGCAGGGACTCTGCTTTTTGGCATCGGCGGGGCTCTGTTTTATCGACTTTTGAAGCAGACGGCGGGAGCTGTTTCAGCCATGGGAAAGCTTCCGAGTCGGTGTGAAGGTCTGGTCCTCGCTGTGGGAACTTTGAATCGTCTGGTTTACGAGCTTAACCGTAAGGTGGAGGCGATTGAGAATCGCAGGCCACCTGCGGCTTCTGGGACTCGTCAGCATGGTGGGTTCGACCTTGAAGGAGACACATAGCATGGATCAGTGGAATGGAATCCCACAATTAGGCATTTTCAGAACCAGAATGCCCAGATGGACTCAAGGCTGAAGAAAAAGTAATCTGTCTGCCTGAAGGAAAACAAGAATCAAGCTTTTCTGAATCTGACTCCCGACAACCTCGGAGACAGGACGACTATCAATTTCTCCTGGGACATGAGACCTGGACGCTCATGGACAAATCTCAACACCTTGATGTCTAATGCAAATGTATTCATGTTTTAATTGTGCTGCTGGTAGAGTTTTTTGATGTCTCAAATCGTGTCCTGATAGACAAGATGTGAAAGATCTTTTTTTGTAATACCACTATCTACCCTCATGTTTCTCCCCCTTTTCCTCCATCCATCCATTTTCTTCTGCTCATCCGGGGTCGGGACGCGGGGGTAGCAGCCTAAGTAGGGAGGCCCAGACTTCCCTCTCCCCAGCCACTTGGGCCAGCTCTTCCGGGGGAATCCCGAGGTGTTCCCAGGCCAGCCGAGAAACATAGTCCCTCCAGCGTGTCCTGGGTCTTCCTCTGGGCCTCCTTCCGGTGGGACGTGTCCGGAACACCTCACCAGGGAGGCGTCCAGAAGGCATCCTAAACAGATGCCCAAACCACCTCAACTGGCTCCTCTCGACGTGGAGAAGCAGTGGCTCTACTCTGAGTCTCTCCTGGATGATCGAGCTTCTCACCCTATCTCTAAGGGAGAGCCCAGACACCCTGCGGAGAAAACTCATTTCGGCCGCTTGTATCCGAGATCTCATTCTTTTGGTCACAACCCAAAGTTTGTGACCATAGATGATTGTAGGAACGTAGATCGGTCAGTAAATTGAGAGCTTCGCCTTTTGACTCAGCTCTCTCTTCACCACAACAGACCTGTACAGCGCCTCCTTCACTGCTGACGCTGCAACTATCCGCCTATCGATCTCACGCTCAAATTTTCCCTCATTCGTGAACAAGACCCCAAGATACTTAAACTCCTCCACTTGGGGTAGGACCTCCTCCCTGACCTGAAGAGGGCACTGTACCCTTTTCCAGCTCAAGACCATGGCCTCGGATTTGGAGGAACTGATCTTCATCCCGGCCGCGTCGCATTCGGCTGCGAACCACTCCAGCGAAAGCTATAGATCATGATCTGATGAAGCCAATAAGACCACATCATCTGCAAAAAGCAGGGACACAATCCTAAGGCCACCAAAACAGATCCCCTCAACACCTTGGCTGCGCCTAGAAATTCTGTCCATAAAAGTTATGAACAGAATCGGTGACAAAGGGCAACCTTGGCGGAGTCCAACTCTCACCGGGAACAAGACCGACTTACTGCCGGCAATGCGGACCAGGCTCTTACACCGGTCATACAGGGACCTAACAGCCCATATCAAAGGGCCCGGTGCCCCATACTCCCAGAGTACCCCCCACTTGGTTCCCCGAGGGATGCGGTCGAACGCCTTCTCCAAGTCCACAAAGCACATGTGGACCGGTTGGACAAACTCCCACGCACCCTCCAGGACCCTGCTGAGAGTGTAGAGCTGGTCCAGTGTTCCACGGCCAGGATGAAAACACACTGCTCCTCCTGAATCCGAGGTTCGACTATCCAACGGACTCTACTCTCCAGAACCCCCGAGTAGACCTTACCAGGGAGGCTTAAGAGCGTGATTCCTCTGTAGTTGGAACACACTCTACGGTCCCCCTTTTTGAATAGGGGGACCACCACCCCAGTCTGCCAATCCAGGGGAACTTCCCCTGATGTCCACGCAATTTTGCAGAGTCGCGTAAGCTAACACAACTCTACAACATCCAGAGCCTTAAGGAACTCAGTGCAAATCTCATCCACCCCTGGGGCCCTGCCACCGAGGAGCTTTTTAACCACCTTGGTGACCTCAGCACCAGAGATTGGAGGGCCCGACCCAGAGTCCCCAGGCTCCGCTTCCTCAGTGGAAGACGTGCCGGTGGGATTGAGGAAGTCTTCAAAGTATTCCGCCCACCGACCCACAACATCCCGAGTTGAGGTCAGCAGCACACCACTCCCACTATAAACAGTGTTGGTGGCATACCGCTTTCCCCCCCTGAGACACTGGATGGTGGACCAGAATCGCCTCGAAGTCTTGCGGAAGTCATTCTCCATGGCCCCTCCGAACTCCTCCCATGCCCGAGTTTTTGCTTCAGCGACCACCCGAGCCGCATGTCACTTGGACTGCCGGTACCCATCAGCTGCTTCCGGGGTCCCACAGGCCAAAAAGGCCCGATAGGACTCCTTCTTCAGTCTGACAGCATCCCTCACCGACGGTGTCCACCATCGGGTTCGAGGGTTGCCGCCGCGACAGGCACCGACAACCTTGCGGCCGCAGCTCCGGTAAGCTGCCTCGACAATAGAGGCACAAAACATGGTCCACTCGGACTCAATGTCCCCCACCTCCCTCGGAACATGTTCGAAGTTCTCCCGGAGGTGGGAGTTAAAACTCCGTCTCACAGGAGACTCTACTCTGCCAGACGTTCCCAGCAAACCCTCACAATATGTTTGGGTCTGCCAGGTCTGACCGTCATCCTCCCCCACCATCAGGGGCCCACTCACCACCAGGTAGTGATCAGTGGACAGCTCCGCCCCTCTCTTGACCCGAGTGTCCAAGACATGTGGCTGCAGATCAGATGAGACGATGACAAAGTCGATCATTGAACTGTGGCCTAGGGTGTCCTAGTGCCAAGAGCACATATGGACACCCTTATGCTTGAACAAGGTATTCGATATTGACAATCCATGATGAGCACAGAAGTCCAACAACAGAACACCACTCTGGTTCAGATCAGGGGGGCCGTTCCTCCCAACCACACCCCTCCAGGTCTCACTGTCATTGCCCACATGAGCGTTGAAGTCCCCCAGCAGAACAAGGGAGTCCCCAGGAGGTGCACTTTCCAGTACCCCCTCCAAGGACTCCAGAAAGGGTGGATAATCTGAACTGCCGTTTGGTGCATAAGCACAAACGACAGTCAAAACCCGTCCCCCCACACGTAGGCGGAGGGAGGCCACCCTTTCATTTACTGGGGTGAACCCCAACACACAGGCACCAAGTTGAGGGGCAATAAGTATGCCCACTCCTGCTTGGCGCCTCTCACCAGGTGCAACTCCAGAGTGGAAGAGTATCCAGCCCCTCTCAAGGAAACTGGTTCCAGAGCCAGAGCCATGCGTAGAGGTGAGTCCGACTATTTCTAGCCGGAACCTATCAGCCTCACACACCAGCTCAGGCTCCTTCCCCACCAGTGAGGTGACATTCCACGTCCCAATAGCCAGCTTCTGTAGCCAAGGATCAGACCACCAGGGTCCCCGCCCTCGGCCACCACCCATCCCACATTGCACCCAACCCCTTTGGTCCCTCCCACAGGTGGTGAGCCCATGGGAATGGGGACCCATGTCTCCTCTTCGGGCTGTGCCCGGCCGAGCTCCATGGGTAAAAGCCCGGCCACCAGGCGCTCGCCCGCGTGCCCCACCTCCAGGCCTGGCTCCAGAGTGGGGCCCCGGTGACCCACGTCCGGGCAAGGGAACATTAGGCCCGTTTATTTTTCTCATCATCGGGGTTTTTGGGCTGCACTTTGTCTGGTCCCTCACTTAGGACCTGTCTGCCATGGGTGACCCTACTAGGGGCGTAAAGCCCCTAGTAGGGTCACCCATGGCAGCATAGCTCCAAGGGTCATTGGTACACTCAAACCCCTCCACCACGGTAAGGTGGCAGCCCAGGGAGGGCCCTCTCCCCCTTTTCCTATCTAAGATTATGATCTGATAAGGATATAAATGACTGTGCTTTC